CTATGTGTATTTCTTAATTTCTTATGAGATAAGATACCCCCTAATATGGATCAGAGGGAGTAACACTTTTGACTGGCACGGTATCTGAGACTGAGTGTTTCGCATTGTTCTCAGTCTTTGAATATTGTGGTGTTTGCAGATCATTAACTTTTGGCGCGTTCATCTGTATCAAGTGTTCTGGAGCTCATAGAAGCCTCGGGGTGCACATTTCTAAGGTAGCCACGATATCTATGTATTGTTAGCTATTTGTCATCAGCGTCCTTCCATTTTCAGTTTAATTTCTTACCTGGAATGATTTTTGATTCAGCCATAGGAGATGTTGGCTAAAAATGGATTAAACCTTTCAGCTATATATATAGTTAGGCTTTTATTCGCCAGCCCCTTCTGAAACTAGGGAGTGCAACCATTCAGCCATTTTCACTGAGATCTGACACTTACTTTAGAGCTCGTAGGGACTGTTTGATATTTTGATTGTCCTAGGGATTGCTACTGTCCCAGTCTGCAGAGCAACACGTGCAAGGTTGTCAGACATTAGACAGTACAGCATATGTTTCAAGTTTCAACTATACTTTTCTAGGATGTACAGTTTTTTCTAACTTGAGAAACACCTGCATAGAGCCACGCCCATACATAAGCAATAAATAAATAAATTCAGAAGCAAGCGTCTTTGACAAACATAATTAGATCATAGGCTTTTTAAGGAAGATACCAGGCACATATAAGTTTGACATTCCCAATATTATTTTCCTTCCCCTTGAGATAATATTACTTTTGCTAATATTCTTAGTATACAAAATTTTGCCATGAAATACACATGATAAGTGAGAGTAATGTCAGTTGGCCGGTGAAGATATATAATGTCTGGTGGTTCAACTATCCATTTCTGGTGTTTGAGTAGAACCCTGTTTATTTCAGATAGTCTCAGTGAAGCTAGATGAATGGACAGATGAACAAGTTGATTTTTTGACCGAAGCGGGTGGTAATGGTGCAGTAAACAGTACATATGAGGCATTTCTTGGCAATTACACAAAGCCAAGGCAAGATTGCTCAGCGGATGACCGAAATGATTTTATAAGGTATACTGAAGTAGCAAGTTCTTATTATCTGAGACGCCTGCCACTAGTATAACAGGTTTCTTTCATATTTGCCCAACACAACTCTACCGATGAATGATGTTTCTCCTTACTCGCATATGTGCAGGAGAAAATATGAGTTTCAACAGTTTTTGTCTAACCAACAGCTTTCATGCTCTTCACAAAACAATGGCAAACATTGTTACCAGCAGCAGCATGGTAGCTCAAATCGACATGGTTTAGGCCATGCTTTCAGGAACAGCTGGAGGAGAAAAGAAGACAAATCAGTAAAGAAACCTGCAGCTGTATGATCAATCATCCCAAATCTATAGTTCAGTTTATACTCTTAACTTGAAATATTATTTCTTATTTGAATTTATTCTGTCTTAGGTGGAGGTTGGTATGGTAGAGTTTGTTGGATTGATTAAGGTCAATATCATAAGAGGCACAAATCTAGCTATTCGTGATGTGATGTCAAGCGACCCTTATGTTATCCTAAACCTAGGACACCAGGTGAGCTACTCCATTCATTTGCACTATAACCTAGTTGTGTGAAGTTATTTGTTTTGTGACGCTCCAGATCCCCTTTTCGCCCTTGTAGTCGATGAAAACGAAGGTGATAAAGAGCAGCCTGAATCCTGTATGGAATGAAAGACTTCTGCTATCGATACCCGATCCGGTTCCACTGCTAAAAGTGGTAAATATGTTTTATTTACAGGGGCGATGAAAATAATCAGTAAAATGTGCAGTGCAGTGGTATGGTTTAGGTCGGTTTTTTTTCGGGTAACATTTGCCTTCAATTCTCCTTGCAGCAAGTCTATGACAAGGACACATTTACCACCGACGACCGAATGGGGGAGGCTGAGATTAACATTCAACCACTAGTTGCTGCAGCCAGAGCCTATGAAACCAAGTCGATCACCGACAATGCCGAGCTCAACAAATGGATGGCGAAAGACGGCATCTGGATCCCAAGGGACAGTGCCATCACCATCATCGACAACAAGGTTAAGCAGGAGGTGACTGTCAGGCTTCAGAACGTCGAGCGTGGCCACCTCGAGATGGAGCTCGAGTGCGTCCCGCTCACGCAATAGCTGTGTTGCGCCCGGAATTGTGTCGCCCTAGCATGTTGTTGTCAACATGGTCACATGAAGAATTTCTTTACAGAACACCTGAGACTTGCTTGTGTGATCAGTGTGAGTACCTAGGATCCCAATCATACGTTCAAGGCTTTTCTGTAAAAGATATATACTATGTAAAGTTAGAAGGAAGAGACATAATGTGACCTGTAATTTGTCCAGTAAAGTGGAGGTCATTCTAGCATGACTCTGCCTGTTTCACAGCTCCATATGTTGATCAATTTTATGCACTTGAATGAAGAGGGGGTAAGTAAGAACAGTGAACCATTGCGCGCGTGCGGGGGGAGTGTTGATCAAAGGCCGCACAGAAACTCTATATCATTGCAATTCTTATGAGTTTTTTGTATGTTGGTTGGTCGATTTGAAGTGCTGCAGCGGGGTGGGACTTTTCTGTCCTTACAGGAGCTGAGAATGCAGTTTTTGTGAGCATGGTTTTGTCCTGACTGAGGTTGAGAATGCTGTTTTGGTGAGAGTGGTTTGTACTATCGTTTGATTTTATAGGGTTATAGAAATGCACTTTTACCTTTCTATGTTATTCTCTTCTTCCTCTTGTTGTTGTTGTGCTGCTGCTGCTGCTGCTGCTGCTGCCACCACCAAGCACTTGACAACCCCATGCCAAATGAAGTCATAATCCACACCATGCCCATTTCTTTCATGAACAAAGGAGTCTAGAACCACTTCAAATTTCAAACAAACAACCATTATTCCCTTGCGGGGAGGATGAGTATCTACTATATTTGACAACTAGTAACTCCTCACAGCTTCCAACTAACTAGAAACCCCTCACACTTTCAAATCCAAGAAGCCTTGATACTCAAACACGGAGGCACATGTTTCGTATGGAAATAAAAATCTAAAAGGTCCGCAAGCCTGAGAAATCATTGTATGCTCAAGATAAGGGGAAAAAAACAATGCAATGTGCACATCTGATATGGAAAGGATGGTTTGTAGTGAAAGAATTAAGATTTTTGAAGGTAAAGGCTTTATGTTATAAATATGGGGGCACATACCACAATGTCATGTTGCGAGAAAACGAATGTTATCTACACATAGAAAATTCTCTTTAGGACTCTCTTGCACTTTTATTCCACTAGGAGACACTCAATGATGTAGACTCCTCTAGACTGTAATAAGGAAAGTGTAATAGTGCGTATAGAAGGACAAGATTTGAATCCAAGTGCTCAGTGGTGTGTTGAGTCGCGGAATAGAGGGTCGAATTTGTGCGTATCGTGCGAGTATGTGTGTGTGCCACTCAAAATTAGTTGATAGTACTAGCTAAATATATGTGCGTTGTAACCGGGGCAAATTTGTTCTACTGGTTCAATCTAGGATTCTTTTTATTGGGCCGAGATTGAGATATGCTACGGGGAAGAAATACATAGGCAAAGATAAGGAAACAAATATGATGTGACTGAGATTGTGTTCATACAACTACGCAGTGACGAATCTTGAGAAAAAACGGAGGGCGGGCTCAAACTAGACGAAGGAACGATTCTAGACGAGTATAGACAGGATTTTGATTGTGTGGGTTTAATGGGCTGCCGCTGATTGCCTGGGCTGGGCCAAATACTAGTAGAAAAAAATAAATTGCTTCTCTGGAGGGGGGTGGGGAGGGGGGGGGGGGCTCGAGCCTGTTAAAGCCCCCCAGTAGATTCGCCCCTGCAACTACGTGAGTTGATTTTGTTGTTTGCGTGAAAAAGATTTTTACGATATTGACATTTTTTTTACTTTCCGTTGATTGCTTTGCAAGGGATTTCTTATAAAGTGGCGGGGGTTGGCTTGGAATTTTTTTATTGGAGATTATTGTGTGGTTTTAGAAGGTGACACCAATGCGAAGATATAATAAAACTTTGCAATTCAAGGGGTTAGGGTTAGGTGGTGTGGGAGAAAATGGTGGAGGCCCAACACGGTTAGAGGGATGGGTGACAGAGACCTGTGGTGTGTGACAGTTGGTTGAGGCGGGGTGACGAGGTGACACGTGAGATTGCAGGCTATACTGATCGGAGCAGCTAGACGTTGCAGGCAAAGGGGAGTTGTGGATTTGCAATGCGACAACGATTTTATTGGCCTTTTTTTTCCGCAAAAAGGCTAAAGCCATGTATCAAATTTCACGTGTCTTTGCAAACACACTCTGACAAGGAAAAAAAAGACATTAAAAAATTTAGGGGTGTCGAAGTCCTCTTTCTCCCTCCTGTATCCAGCTTTAGCATGGTTCAATGTTGTCCGTGAGCCTTCGCCTTGGCAGAGCAAACTTTTAAAACCCAAGAGCTCATAAAAGCAACGACTAGGAACTCGTTGATGCTACTGATTAGATTAAGGTGTTTACCACATTTGAAAAACGAAAAAAAAATACACTCCCTTCGCCCGGAAATACTTGTCAGAGAAATGAATATATCTAGATGTATTTTAATTTTAGATACATTTATTTTTATGTTAAAAAAGAAAATACATTCATTTTTATTCATTTTATAACAAGTAATTCCGAACGAAGGGAGGTTTAAGTGCCTGGGATTCTTTTCCTTTGAATGCCCTGAAACCCAACTGAAAAACAAAGTTACACCACCACGCTAAGCGTTTCCTAATAATGTCATCCGTTTGGAATATATATGGAACTAAAGACTCGACAGTGATGACGCGACGTTGATACGCGGCCGGTCAATAAATTTCCTTCGTCCCCTACCTCCCCTTTCCATTCCCCCGCCCCCCGCCGCCGTGTCGCCCTCCCCACCAACCCCAAACCCCGCCCAAAACCCTAGCCGCCGGCCCGCCCCGCCCCGCCGCCGCCGCCATGGACGCCGCCGCGCTGGAAACCCTCATCCTCGACCTGCACGCCATCGAGGCGGTCAAGCTCGGCTCCTTCGTGCTCAAGTCGGGCATCACCTCCCCGATCTACCTCGACCTGCGCGCGCTCGTCTCGCACCCGCGCCTGCTCGCCGCCATCGCCTCCCTCCTCGCCGCCCTCCCGGCCACCCGCCCCTACGGCATCCTCTGCGGGGTGCCCTACACGGCGCTCCCCATCGCCTCCGTGCTCTCCGTCGACCGCGGCCTCCCCATGCTCATGCGCCGCAAGGAGGTCAAGACCCACGGCACCGCCAAGGCCATCGAGGGCTCCTTCCGCGCCGGCGACACCGTGCTCATCATCGAGGACCTCGTCACCAGCGGCGCCTCCGTGCTCGAGACCGCCGCGCCCCTCCGCGCCGAGGGGCTCGTCGTGGCCGACGCGTTCGTCGTTGTTGACCGCGAGCAGGGCGGGAGGGAGAACCTTGCGGCGAACGGCATCACGCTGCACTCGCTCATGACCCTCACCGAGGTGCTCGCCGTGCTGCTCCGGCACGGCAAGGTCACCGAGGAGAAGGCCGCCGAGGTGAAGCAGTTCCTCGATGCCAACAGGAAGGTCACCGTGCCGGGCGCGGCGGCCGCCGCCAAGCCCAAGGTGGTCAGGAAGGGGTTCCCTGAGAGGGCAGCCTTGGCCAAGAACCCCATGGGGAAGAAGCTGTTCGAGGTCATGGAAGCAAAGCAGAGCAACCTCTGCGTCTCCGCGGATGTTGGGACAGCCAAGGAGCTCCTTGAGCTTGCCGAAAAGGTATAACACAGTGCAATTTGTTATGTTTTGGTGTTAAGTCAGTTGTTGGGTTAGATTTAGGCACTTCCAAATCAGCAAGTTATATAATTATGCTTTCTGACATTGACAGAATTGACCATTTCAGCAAGGTATGACAGTACAGTATGTTGAGTATTTGCGTAGGTCAATTCTTGGGGTTAGATTTCAGCACCTTTAGTTCAGCAAGTTAAATTATCTTTTGGGATGGAATCCTGGAATAGACATGGCTATTTCTGGAATTTGTTAATATTAAGACATGACTTGTGTTAGCTAGCAGAGTCTCCTGAATTAGGTAGGAAACAGATCTATTAGGTGTGCATGACTGCAGTCCTTCAGGAGTGAAAGCATTGACTTGTTGCACGACTGGTGACATCATAACAACATTTTCAATTGCATTATGTATGATGTTTTCTGCACTTGGATGCTGCTGTGTAGTGACATCACCAGAACCTATCCTTAACACAAGGTTTAACCCATCTTTCTATAATTTTTATGCAGGTTGGCTCTGAGATTTGCATGCTGAAAACCCATGTCGATATCTTGTCAGATTTTACACCTGACTTTGGCACCAAGCTGCGCTCGGTATGCTCTCTTATGATGCAATATCGTCTTTTATTTTCAATGATAATAATGCTTCTCTCTCAGATGGTACCTTTGGATCTTTCTGTTTACTACGAGTAGTAAAATGCCAGTGTCCGCAATAGTCTTCTCATTTCGTTTGTCAGTAATCTGATGTAGCATCTTCATGTCTATCAGAATGGAATTCCTTTCTCCATACTATTCTGTTAGGGAGCATGTTTGATTTCTGTATTTATTAGAGGCTCGTTTGTTTAATTCATTATGTACTGTCATTCTAATGTCGTCCATCTTCCTCTCATTTGTAAACAATCGACCTGTAACCAACTAAGATACCAGGGCCATTTACTTTCTTAGATCTGGTTTTTGTTTATCTGTTTTTTGACCAGGACCTGAATTTATTTTATCAATTGCTAGAGCTGTTTTCTACTATAACAATGTGTCAATCACTGTCTAAGATGCAAAAGATGTTGTCCTATCTGGGACTTCTTAATGTCACATTCTTTATATAATGGAGCTCTTAACTTTTCTTTTTAGATTGCTGAGAAGCACAACTTTTTGATCTTTGAAGACCGCAAGTTTGCTGACATTGGTAACACAGTAACTATGCAATATGAAGGGTGAGAAAAGGCACTATAAACCATCTTCTCTTTCTGTTTGCATATGTATGCAGTATGCTTATAACGTTTTACATTATTTCAGAGGAATATTCCGCATATTAGAATGGGCTGATATTGTTAACGCCCATGTAATTCCTGGGCCTGGAATTGTTGATGGCTTGAAGCTTAAGGTATATTAAACTTTAAATGTCCTAAATAGTAAATATTAAAAGTTAATGTTGCAGCTTTGAATAGTCTGTGTATTGTGGTGCTCACTGTAACTGTTGTGTTGTGGTATTGAAGGGTTTACCAAAAGGGAGAGGGCTTCTTCTGCTTGCTGAAATGAGCTCGGCTGGCAACCTTGCTCAAGGAGATTACACTGCAGCAGCTGTAAAGATTGCCGAGCAACATTCTGATTTTGTGATTGGATTTATATCAGTAAATCCCGCATCTTGGTCTGTGGCACCATCAAGCCCAGCGTTTATCCATGCCACCCCTGGAGTGCAGATGGTTTCTGGAGGAGATGCTCTTGGGCAACAGTACGCAACTCCTTTTTCTGTGAGTTTAACCTTGTCATTACAAAGTGCTTTCTTCACATATGTGCATTCAAGTTTTTGTGGAGCTTTCATAAATTGGACTTTAGCAGTATTATTTTTCTATGTACTATACTGCAGCTGAATTTCGTTGTCATGTTGTCTCCTGGTTAATATAATAAATTACAAAGTTTGAAGGTGACATGTGTTTTTGGATTACATACTTGCGATATGTACCAAATATCTGTCAGTTGTTGAGAATTTTCTGGAAATAGGGCACACTTCTGTACTTTTCTCATGCTCACAGGAATACCATAACAAGCAAGATTCGCCTCTGTGGGCTAGATTGGTGTTCTTAAGAATTTCAATTTCCTTAGAAGATATGGAGTAGCATTTAATTTTGATTTCTCATGCACCAGAATACTTACTAGTATTTCGTAGCCAGACATATACTCCCTCCGTTCCCAAATATAAGTCCTTTTAGAGATTCCAATATGGACTACATATAGAGCAAAATGAGTGAATGTGCACTCTATAATATGTCTATATACATCCGTATGTAGTCCATATTGAAATCTTTAAAAAGACTTATATTTAGGGACGGAGGGAGTATATTCTTGGAGTTATTCAGGATTTGAGTTTCTTTGTCTCACTGTTGCAGTCTGCTTATTATCTGATGTTGTGTCTCACCTGCAACCTGGCTGTGTCCTACAGGTGATAAACGACAGAGGCAGCGACATAATCATTGTGGGCCGCGGGATCATCAAGGCGAGCGACCCCGAGCAGACGGCGAGGGAGTACCGCGTCCAAGGGTGGCAGGCGTACCTGTCCAGCTTGTGAGGAAGGCTGCTGCTCAAACGCAAACGCCTCTCTCAGTGTAAACCCAAACGAAATGCGCTGGCGTTCGTGCCATGGATCGATCAATGTAATAAGAGTGCCTCCTGTCGGCGCTGAGTGATTTCCCCCTTGTGCCTGGTGTCGGCGGCACGCGTCGTTTTGGGGAAATAACTTCGAAATCGCGGTAATGGAAACCAGAACGTTCCCATGGACACTGCTTGCTTGCCCTGTGCCTGTTGGTTGCTTTGGTCGTCTGATGCTTGAGCTTTATCATCAACTCAAGATGTTTGCTGGTAGGAGCTTGCTTGAGATGGAATCAGTTAAGTTTTTAGACAAAATTCACTGTTAGATACTCTAGATGGCGGTCCTCTTTCAAACGCACTATCACCCATGGTCAGTCAGTGTCTTGTCCCATGAGCATGGTTGGGCGAGCGAGCTCTGCCGCCGCCGGTGGCAGCTGCAGCTCCGGCGAGTGTACGCTGGGAGTGGGCCTTGAACCAGTTGGGCCTATAGAAGCCTAAGCCTACAAAGAGGGCCCAGAGCATTTTTTTTAGATGGAACACCCGATTCCATTAACCCACTGGCTGAGCAGAAACGCTGGCCGTCCTAACTTTTACACCGTCCGGCAATTCCTCAGACCACAGCTGTTTAGGCTGGTTGTAATGAGGAGTATCATATACTATTATCATGCATATGATACTAGTGTATGATACTTCCTCCCTAATGCGTGGTATCATATATTAGTATCATGTAGTACTTTATTTATTGTCATGCATGACACATACAGTACTAGCCTAGCATTTATTACTCAACTCTTTCTATCTTCATTTAATTCTATGACACCTCATTAAATTTGCCTAGTTGGCATGCATGATACTAGCTATGATACTTCCATTACAACTAGACGAGCACCCATGGCAGCAAGTACATGGGCCAAAATATTACAGCCCCTTGGGGTAAAAGAAAAGCTAGCGAAATTAAAGTGCAGATGAGCAAATAGAGGCAGGTCCTTGAAGATAACTCCTTCAGGTGCTACATCAAATTCAGTTCTCTGTACTGCACGCACCAGAGATTGGCAGTCTGTTTCAACAATTATGTCTGTCATTCCCCAATCAGCAGCAGCTTGCATGGCCTCCAAGCACGCCATTGCTTCCGCCTGTACCGCCGTGGCCACATGCCGGAAGCAGCCCGCACCCGAGCCTCTCACACCCCTTGGTTGTCGCGTACAACGAAGCCCTAGCCTCCTGTTCCAGTCTCTGCATGGAAAAAACCATCAATATTGATCTTTAGCTTGTCACCCACTGGCCTTCTCCAAACCCGCTGAACACTGGCACTCTCTGAACATTCTTTTGCTGCACACAGGTTCAGATAGTCAGAAGTACACTCACGGATTCTCGACAGTAAACCATCAATCGGTTCCCCCTTCTCCTTTGCATTTATCTTGTTCCGCCTCGTCCACCAACACCATAGCATACAGACCACTAGGGTCTTTTTTTCCTCGTCCAGTTCTAGCAGTAATTTAACCACTCCTCTTGCATCGGTACGCGCACACATACGCAGCCGTACCTCTTCCATTTGTAGTGCTCGCCATACCTGCTTCACCTCTTTGCATTTTAAGAACAGATGCGCCCCGTCCTCGTCGAGCCTTCTGCAACAAACACACAAATTATCACACTCAATGCCTCTTCTCTTCAGGCCCATCAGCAGGGGCAGACTGTTGTGCGCAAGTCTTCAAATAAACTGCTGCATTTTTGGTTGGCATGTGATTGTGATCTTCCATATGTTCCTCCAACCGATGTCACCATCAACAGGGTGGGAGGTGGACGGCAGCCCCGCATCACGCAATCTAATATACAACTTGTATGTAGACTTCACCGTGAATGTACCTTCGCTATCAAAAAACCATGCGTAGAGGTCATCAAAATCATCTCTTATGGGTGTAGAAAGGATCACCTTTGCATCTTCGCTTACGAAGATGTGTCGCACCAGCTGTTCGTCCCATGAGCATGTATTCGGGTCGATCAGTTCACAGACTCTAGTCAGCAAGCATCTACCTCGCTCCGCCTTCGGTCGCCAAGAACCCTCTCTATTCAGCCAAGGATCGGACCAAATTTTAACACTGGTTCCATCCCCGATTCTACAGATAAGTCCCTCTTTCAGCAACTCAACCCCTTTGAGAATACTTCTCCAAGTGTAAGAGATCCCTGGGTTAGCTTGTGCCTCCAGGATCGAGGTATTCGGGAAGTACCTGGCTTTCAAAACCCATGCATAGAGGGACTCTGGTTCAGTGAGTATCCTCCATGCAAGTCTCTGAACCCGAGGCCGCCATTTTTTTCGGTTGTGTCATGAGTTCCCAACTTAACCAATGCATAGTCTTGGTCTTCTCCTGCTTTGCCCACCAAAATCGACAGATCATCTCTCCCATTTGCTCACACAAAGTTTTTGTTAGATCAAAACATGACATAGCGAAGGTGGGTATTGCCTGGACACAAGCTTTTATGAGCACATCTTTGGATGCCTTCGACATTAGCCTTTCCAACCAGCCTTGGATTCGATTCCACATGCGGTCTTTCAAGTATTCAAACATTTTGGTTCTGTTCCTGCCCACATACACCGGCAGCCCCAAGTACCTATCTGATCTGGTCAAATTTCCAATTTGCAACTCTGCTAGCACCTGTTGTTTCTGCACCGCACCTGTGTTCTTGCTGAACATAATGGAAGACTTGTCGTAGTTCACAATATGTCCCGAGCACACCTCATACAGATTTAGCACGTTCTGCAGATGTATGGCACTCTCTCGTAAAGCTTTCATAAGTACCAAACAGTCATCTGCAAACAGTAGATGGTTTAAACTCGGGGCATCATTGCAAATATGTATTCCAATTAATCTTCCCTCCCTTTCTGCTTTATTAAGAAAGGAAGAAAACCCCTCGGCAACAATCAAAACAGATACGGTGATAGAGGATCACCTTGACGGAGACCTCTTTGGGGCACCACCACATCCGTGCATTCTCCATTCACCTTAAACTTGTATGACACAATGGAGATACATAGCATTACCAGCTTAATCCACCTCTGATCAAGGCCGAGCGGGTACATCATCTTCTCCAAGAAGTCCCACTCCACCCTATCATATGCCTTGCTCATATCTAACTTTACCGCAGCATAGCCATCTTTTCCCGTTCTCTTATTCTGCATGTAATGGGTACATTCATAAGCAAGCAAGATATTATCCGTGATCAAGCGGCCTGGTACAAAAGCGCTCTGGTTTGGTGAAATGATGTCAGGGAGTATTTGTTTCAGCCAGTTAGCGAGTACCTTCGAGATGAGTTTATACACCACATTGCACAGACTAATGGGCCTCAAGTCCTTCATGCTCTCTGGATTAAGCACCTTCGGTGTGAGGACAACACATGTATCATTCCAACCTTCATGCATAGAACCCCCATTAAGCACACTCAGAACTTCAGTAATCACATTCTCTCCCACAATATCCCAACATTTTTTATAGAAGATAGACGGCATACCATCCGGACCCGGGGCCTTTAGGTCTCCAATACTTTGTAAGGCATCAACTACCTCCTTTTCTGTGAACGCCTCCCCGAGTAAGGCATTCATTTGCGGAGTCACTTGGGGGTCAACGTGACCGAAGAGCTCCTCCGTCCTCGTACCTGCATGGGAGGTAAAAAGATTCAAAAAGTAGTTAGTCACCACATCTTTCATGGCCCCCTCTTCCTCCACCACCGTACCATCCTTCTTCTTCAACCTTCTAATCTTATTCCGGCCAATAGCATTTGACAACCTGCGAACCGCGTAATCTG